TATTTTTTAAAGACAAAACAACATTGTAGCATCAAGATTACCAGGATTATCGAATAGAGCAACAGCCATTGTTTAAATAAGTGAGGAATTTTTTTGAGAAAATCTATGATTTTTTATTTTTGGAAAGCTAATAGTGCTTTGCAAAAGCAAAAAGCACCTTAACGGGACAGGTGCTTTTATGAATTTTGATGAAACTAGCTTTGAACTAAATCTAGGAGGTCAAAAAGCTTTTGCTAAAGAAAGCAGTTTTTCCGCCAATTTTTCAAAAGGAAAAGAGATTATCACAATTGCTTACTGTTTTTTTTTTTTTTTTTTTTTTTTTTACCAATAGATTAATGTTTTGACCACAAATTAAAAAACTTTATTCAGTCAGATGAAAGATGTTACTTATTTTTGTGATGAAATTGGTGCGAACATTTTTTTGACTCAAAAACTTATTGGATGGCAATCAAAAAAATTTTTGTAGTATTTATTGAAGAAAATAAAAGCATCTGATGAAAAACAAGTTGTCTGTGTTCAATGACAAAAAAAAAAGAGAGAAGGTAATCATGCTAATTCATTGTTGAAACAGTGAATAAGCATGGTTACCCTCCTAAATAATGAAATTTGTAAATAAATTTAATTTAGTTCATCTAGTTTAAAAAAAAACTTTTATTTAAAACAGCATTTACATAATTTTGCATATTTGTGTTATTACTTACTTTTGGATCTTTTGTCTAACAAAAAAAAGAACGTTTACATAAAAAAATACAAAGGTTTTTTGGCAGAATGAAACTTACATTGTGCTTAATAGATACTTGATAAGTACTGCTTATGACAACATGTCTAAATGAAGAAGTAATGTTTAAATAACTTTAAATTTTATTGCTTATTTTTTTACTTTTAAAAAATTCAAATCAAATTTTGACTGAATTTTTTGATCAAACAAAGTATATAGAATAAAACAGAAATACTTGCAGAAAAGAACCGAAGACTATGCAATATAGAAAATCCTAATAAAATAAGCTAAAAAAATTCCATATTAAAAAAAGAAAATTGTTGTCAAAAAAATAATATACCTAAATATTGTTTTTGCTTTCTTATTTTTAGGGCGTTTGTTATTTTCCACTACCAAAATTGATACAAGTTAAGGAAAAAAGTAGATCAGAATATATAAAAAAGATTTAAAAAATTTTGATATACAATTTTTTTGCGACTTTTTTCAGTCAGTATATTAAGGAAATACTTTATAATTTGCGCTAAGAACATGGACAATTTTTAAAATTGTTTTTCAAATGTTTTTGCTAAACTTCACTGTTTTTATCAATGCACATTAAAGCAAGAAAACTAATTGCTATATATTTGTAAAAAAAAAAAAAATTCTTTTCAACAAGTTTTTCATGTAAAAAAATAAAAAGTCATTAATACTAATATTTAAATATAAAATATTTGGTTAATTTCAATACACTCATTGAAATAGTCTGCACTTTTGTAGGATTGTGCATTTAAACCAGAAAGTTTATTTCCTGATGAACTATTGTTATTGATTATGCTTCAAAAGCTTGTGGGGTAATGCATTGTTAATTTACTTTTTTAACAAAATGTTTAGGAGCCTATTTAAAACTTTTAAAGTTTTTTAATACATTTTTTTAAACAGAGCAATCTTTATGTTCATTGTCTCTAGTAATTCATATTAACATTTGAAATTGGGCAATATAAAACAAACAATTTCAGACATGTGTCAAATGTGGTAAATGCATTTGTTAAAGAAACCATGTTATTCTTTTAATTAACTAATTCCGCCATTACAAAATTTATTAATCGAATAATATATTTTACAAATAAATAAAAACTTATTTTTTTATTTTACTATTATATAAGTATTGAGAAAAAAAACATCAAATATAGTAAAAACATTTCTAAAAGCGAAAAGATGTATAAGTTGAATAAACATAAGAAAAAAAATTAACAAATTTCTCATAGTTCTAGCATACATAGCAAAGTAGTTTCTTAATTATATGGACTGATAAAATTCATGAATAAATTGCGTATCAAAACTTTCAATTGTAAAAAAAAGAGTACAAAAGTTGTATATGGTCAGTTTGTTTAAAAAAATTACTTTAAATGTAGATGAACAAGTCGTGTGACCACACACGCTTCCTGGGAAGGTTTGTCATGTGTTTTTTGTTTGAGCTTAAACTTACATTATTTGGACTGGTTTCTATAATGGTATTTTTTTAATTTAAGTTATAGGAGAGTTAAAGCAATGTTTTTAAATATTTTAATGAAATTTAGCTTTATGAACCATATGAAATATAAACAAAATTATTGAAACAAAACTAACCTTAATTGAATTTTAAAGAAATTTAAAGAAGTTTAACATTTTTTTGAAACAAAAACAACATCAACTCAAGCAATGCTTTTTAAAGGCATCAAATATTCAGTAGTATAGTATTAATCTATAAAAACAAAATGTAAAATCAAATATTTAACAGCAGAATGTTTCAGTATAATATTTACT